TGAATATTGATTAATAATGATGATAATAAGAATGATAAAGATGATGATAATTATTATGATGATAATAATTATGATGATGATAATGTTGAAAGCAATAATGATGATGATGATGATGATAATCATGATGATAATGATTGTGATGGTAATGGTGATGATTATCATTACCATTATTATTATTAGTAGTAGTAGTAGTAGTTGTAGTATTAGTATTATTATCTTTGTTGTTGTTATCATTATGATTATTATTAGCTAACTATTTTATTATCATTGTTGTCTAGCTACTGTGATTGGTATTACTATTATTGTTTTATTGGTATTTATTGTTTTATTGGTATTATTATTATTATTATTATTATTATTATTATTATTATTCATTTTGTTATTATTATTATTATTACTTTTTGTTTTTATGATTTTTTTGCGAACCATTATTTTCTTATCATTTTTTTTTTTTTTTTTTTTTTTTTTTTTTTTTTTTTTTTTTTTGTCGAAGCGATCGATGTTTCTTAATTAAGGAGCCAGATCCGGTCAGGGGGTGGGGGTGGGGGCGTGAAAAGACCAGCAAGGACCGACCAGCAAGGACCGGCCAGAAGCAATGGCTCTTGTTGGGGGGAACTTCGCTGGGCCTTCGAGCATCGGCGGCGGCGCAGAAGAGGGCGGCGCGGCGGTTTCTGCTTTTTTTTTATATCCAATTTCTTTGTTTTCTTTGCGTGTTTGGGTGCTGCTTACATTTTTTTTTGGGGGGGGAAGGGAGTTCTCTTCCCAGTTCTCCCTCTCTCCCTCTCCCTCCTCTCCCTCCTCTCCCTCCTCTCTCTCTCTCTCTCTCTCTCTCTCTCTCTCTCTCTCTCTCTCTCTCTCTCTCTCTCTCCCTCCCTCCCTCCCTCCCTCCCTCCCTCTCTCTCTCTCTCTCTCTCTCTCTCTCTCTCTCTTCTCTCTCTCTCTCTCTCTCTCTCTCTCTCTCTCTCTCTCTCTCTCTTCCCCTCCCTCTCTCTCTCTCTCTCTCTCTCTCTCTCTCTCTCTCTCTCTCTCTCTCTCTCTCTCTCTCTCCTCTCTCTCTCTCTCTCTCTCTCTCTCTCCCTCCCTCCCTCCCTCCCTCCCTCTCCAACTTCCTCTCCCTCTCCCCCTCTTCTTCTCCCCCTCTCCCCCTCTCCCTCCGCCCCTCTCCATCACTTACTCATCCTTCATTTTCCCTCATTGTTTCGATATCATTATCAATGTCCCACTTTCATGGCTCCCCCCCCCCTCCTCCACTCCACTCCACTCCACCCTTCTCCTACTCCTCGTCCCTCCCCCTCGTCACCTCCATCCCCCTCCCTCTCGCTGCATCCCCTCCTCCCTCAACCCCCCCCCCCTACCCCGATATCCGGCCGATGCGTGGCGTGCTTTGCGGTGCGTTGAGGTGCGTTGGGGGTGAGGGGGTGGGGGGGGTGAGTGAGTGGTCGAGTGTAATGTGACACAGTGCGGTGTGGTTGTGCCTGGCGTGTGGGCTGTAGTGGGAGGGGTGGGGGAGGGGGTATACAGTGCGTGTGTGCGTGCGTGAGTGCGTTCCTGCAACGTCTATACTTTTATAGACTTTGTATACATGTACGTATATAGACCTTGTATGCGTGCATGTATGCGCGTACACAGCGGCTGAATCCTGGCCTCGATTTCGACAAAGCAGTGCGCACAGACCGCCCGAATGCTCGTGTGCCCGCCTATGTGCGCGTGTGCCTGTGTATGTATGCGGGGGGGGGGGGGGTTGGATGTGTGCATGGGAGGTCGGAAATGCCAGTCTCTGCTGACTGGTGCGTTTTCCTCCTGCCTGCGACACCTACCTCCCGCTACCTAACACCCTCCTCCCCTCCCTCTCCCGTCCCCACCCGTCCCCTCCCCACTCCTTTCCCTCCCACTCCCGTCCCCTCCCCACTCCTATCCCTCCCACTCCCGTCCCCTCCCCACTCCTATCCCTCCCACTCCCCATCCCCTTCCCCCTCTGCTTACCGGCAAACCACGCCCACTTCGTTTGGCCTTTTTCCTCCATGTACGGCACCTTCACGAATTCTCGTTCTGGCTTTTTGGTGATAAGAACTGTTTGATAAGTTATTGTTGCCATTCTTTTGTTGTTTTTTATCTTCCTTATCATCTTCCACAACATTGTTGTCTATTCTTTCTTGCAACCTCCTGCTCTTGTTACTTACCTTACTTTTTCTTTTATTCTTCTTTCTCTTCCTCCTCCTCCTCCTCCTCCTCTTCCTCCTCCTCCCCCTCCCCCTCCCCCTCCCCCTCCTCTTCCTCCCCCTTCTCCCCTCCTCATCTTCCTCCCCCCTTCTCCCCTCCTCTTCCTCCTCCTCCTCTTCTTCCTCCTCCTCTTCATCCTCCTCCTCTTCATCCTTCTTTTCATCCTCCTCTGCCTCCTCTACCTCCTCTTCCTCCTCCTCCTCCTCCCCCCCCCTCCTCCTCCTCCTCCTCCTCTTCCTCCCTCCTCCTCCTCCTCCTCTTCCTCCCTCCTCCTCCTCCTCTTCCTCCCTCCTCCTCCTCTTCCTCTTCCTCCCTCCTCTTCCTCCTCTTCCTCCCTCCTCCTCCTCCTTTTCCTCCCTCCTCCTCCTCCTTTTCCTCCCTCCTCCTCCTCCTCTTCCTCCCTCCTCCTCCTCCTCTTCCTCCCCCTCCTCCTCCTCTTCCTCCCCCTTTCTCCCCTCCTCCTGCTCCTCCATTCCTTCTCCTCCTCTTCCTTCCCCTCCTCTTCATCCTCCTCCTCTTCCTCCTCCTCCTCTTCCTCTTCCTCTTCCTCCTCCCTCTCCTCCCTCTCCTCCTCTTCCTCCCCAATCCTTCTGCTCCTCCATTCCTTCTCCTCTTCATCCTCCTCCTCCTCCCCCCCTCCTCCTCCCCCTTTTCCTCATCCTTCTGCCCTCCTCCTCCCCCCCCTCTCCTTCTCCTCCTCCTCCTCCTCCTCCTCCTCCTCCTCCTCCTCTTCCCTCTCCTCTTCCTCCCCAATCCTTCTGCTCCTCCATTCCTCATCCTCTTCCTCTTCCTCCTCCCTTCCCTCCTCCTCCTCCTCCCCCCTCCCCCTCCTCCTCCTCCTCCTCCCTCTCCTCCTCCCTCTCCTCCTCCCTCTCCTCCTCCTCCCCCTCCCCCCTTCCCCCTTCCCCCCCTTCCCCCACCTCTGATCTACCCTTCTTGCACTCCCCCCCCTTCCCCAACCTCTTATCTACCCTTCTTGCACTCCTCCTCCTCCTTCCTCCTCCTCCTCACCTCTCCTCCTCCTCCTCCTCCTCCTCCCCCCCTGCCCCTCCTCTTATCTTGCACTCCTCCCCCTCCCCCTCCCCCTCCTTCCACCCTCCTCTTCCTCTTTCTTTTGCTTTCTCTTCCTCATCTTTTTCCTTTCCTTTTCCCTGTCCCCTCCTTTCTCCCCTCCCCCTCCCCCAACCTTCTTTCCCTCTCTCTTTCCCTCTCTCTTTCCCCCTCTCTTTCCCCTTCCTTGCCCTCTCTCAGCCAACCCCCTTCCCCATCTCCCTCACTCTTTGACGCTCCTCCCTCTTCCCCCCCCCTCTCTCTCCCCTCTCCCCCCCTCTCCCCCCTCTCCTCCCTCTCCCCCCTCTCCTCCCTCTCCCCCCTCTCCTCCCTCTCCTCCCTCACCTCCCTCTCCTCCCCTTCCTCCCTCTCCTCCCTCTCGTCATTCTCCTCCCTCTCCTCCCTCTCTTGGGGAAGAGGGGTAGGCAGGGGGTGCAGAGGGTGCAGACGGGATGGGGGACATGGTGGGAGGTGGATTGGCGTGCGGGGGTGCGGGGATTGATCTGGTTAATCAAGTGTCTCGGGAGGAGAGGGGCTGCGGACTGTGGGTGGGCGGCGTGGGTGGAGGTGAGGCTGGAAGAGGAGGCGGGAGGTTGGGGGTTGGGGGTTCTTCATTCCCTTTGCTCTCCCCACTCGCACTCCCCACTTGCACTCCCCACTCCCACTCCCCACTCCCACCCTCCCATTCCCATCTTCCCTTCCTCTCTCTCACTGTTTTTTTCCCGTCTGCCGCGTTTGCATTTCTCCCGTTCTCTTTCTTATTCCACTCGTTCTAACCCCCTATGGCTCGCCCACCTCCTCCATTCCCTCCTTTACTTTCTTTTCCCTTCTCTTTGTTTCCTCACTCTCTTCCTCCTCCTCTTCCTCCTCCTCTTCCTCCTCCTCTTCCTCCTCCTCTTCCTCCTCCCTCCTCCTCCCTCCCCCTCCTCCTCCTCCCCCTCCTCCTCCCCCCTCCTCCTCCTCCTCTCCTCCTCCCCCCCCTCCTCCTCCCCCCCCTCCTCCTCTCCTCCTACTTCTCCTCCTCCTACTACTACTACTACTACTACTACTACTACTACTACTACTACTACTACTCCTCCTACTCCTACTCCTCCTCTTCCTTTTCCTCCCCCCTACCCCTCCTCCTACTCCTCCTCTTCCTTTTCCTCCCCCCTTCCCCTCCTCCTACTCCTCCTCTTCCTTTTCCTCCCCGCTACCCCTCCTCGTACTCCTCCTCCTACTGCTTTTCCTCTTCCTTTTCCTCCCCCCTTCCCCTCCTCCTGCCCCACCTATCTCTCATACTCTTCTCCCTGCTATCCTCCTCTACCTCCTCCTCACCGGTTTCCTCATGCAGTTCCCAGTTCCACATTGTCTTCTAACCATTGCAGACTAGATTATACATTTTGTTGAGTTGATTCAGGAGAGGGGATATGTGTTTTAGGAAAAGTGAGAAAAAGTGAGTGGGAGTGTGTGTCTGTTTCTGATCAGCAAATGGGTGAGTGTGTTGTTGACTCATGAACGCGTGAGCTTGTGAGTTCCATGTTATTGAGGGAACTAGGGACAAGCGGTGACACAATGCAGACAGATTTACAAGGGGGGCCAGCCAGGGAGGTAGAGACTGCGGTGTAACACATCTCGATATTAGACGTTTTTCTTCCAAGAACTATGTGTGCTGTATTTTTTTATTTCCATTTTTGCAGTGATAACTATTCCAGTGGAATTGCAACATTGATCTTGTTTTTTTCTTACAGAGCCGTGGGTAAAACATGTCTTCTTATCAGCTACACCACCAATGCCTTTCCAGGAGAATACATTCCAACTGTGTAAGTACAAGCTGTGTTATGTTGTGTACATTTAAATCATGTGGTATCTTTTATGCCCTTAAATTGTTTCTGATTTAGAGTGTATCTTCTGTACATGTAAATTAAGAAATTGGAACCCAATCTATATAGAATCTCTTCTGTTGTGCCAATGAATACCTCATTTAACATCACAGCTCCCTTGCAGGTGCTCAGCCTCTCTGCATGTTATTTTTTTTTAAGTCAGTTGTTTCCTTGTCTGCATGTTCATTATTTTCTCTTAAGCATTTTGTCTTTTCATGATGTTAAAGATGCTTAGGTCTTGAGGGTCGATGAGGGAGGATGTTACTGATATAGTGTTTGGGTGTGTGAATTACTTTATTTATTCAGTTATATGTTAAGGCATGTTGCTAACAAATTACAATATTAGTACATATTGCATAAAAAGCACTATACCCATAACAAAGGAATTCAAAAGGTTGCCAGGCTTTTTGAAGTCTACCTGGATAATATTCCCAGGTCTTGGTTTGCATATGGCATGATTTTCTGACAAGAAATGTATGTATGACAATGTATTATTTATTTAGTTCTTGCAATAAGTCACTGCTTGTTACATAGGTGTATTCCTCTTCCATATGTTTATGTTTAAAGTCAATGTATTAATCCCTTGGGATTTGGTATATGTACTATCCACTGTAGTTTTGTTTTATTTATTTATTTATTATTATTATTATTTTTTTACTCCTTCATTACCATGGAGTCTGTTGGTTGCTGATCTCAACTGCTATTCCCATTCCTGAAATTTTTGGGAAAACATTTAGTTTTTATTCCTGTCATAATCATTACTAAGGTTACTAGTATTAGCATTAACGTTATTATTATTATAGCATTAGTTACAAAGTGAAACCTTTTCTTTATGAAAATTCAAGAAACTGGGCAAAGAAATTAGGTTAAGTGGGCCTAGTAATTGACTCCGTGGTGACTCAGAGGCAAACTGTGTGTAAACAAGATTCATTAAACATATCCAGTGGACATTGCATATACGCCTGGACTCCTGGCATCAGTGAGAGGACTTAGATTTATTGTTTCTTTGATATGTAAGTCTAGCTTCTCTCTCTCACCCATGGATTCTCCCTCTCCCTCTCCCTCTCCCTCTCCCACACTCTCCCACTCCCTCTCCCTCTCTCCCTCTCTCCCTCTCCCTCTCCCTCTCTCCCTCTCCCTCTCTCTCTCCCTCTCTCCCTCTCCCTCTCCCTCTCCCTCCCTCTCTCTCCCTGTCCCTCTCCTCCCCCTCCCCCTCTCCCTCTCCCTCTCCCTCTCCCTCTCCCTCTCATAGTATGCTTTTTTGGTTTAGATTTTTAACATTTTCACATTTTTCATATATAGTACTCATATGTTGCTCTTTTTCCAATCCATATTTATTTTTGGGGTAAAACTTGGTAAAACAGAAGTTGTAAGGAGACTTATTTTTGCTGATTCTTAGATTGTGAAAGAAGGGGACCCACTTCAAGCTGCTAGTGACTAAACATGCTACAATATTACATAAGTAGCTGTATTATCATATAACATATAAATATATAGTTTCTCTCACCTATCAAGTCACTAGTGGTTCTTGTTATTCTAAATCATTCCAACTTTTTATTGTGTTGAGGCATGAAGTTGCAGACTTAGTTCCATAAATGGCTGTTGTATGATTTAGGGCATGCATTGTAGGATTTCTAAGCATATGATATGTGTACTGGCAGTAGGCTTAGCTATAGAGGACATAATAATACTCCATCTTTTTGTATTGTGAGATAAAGATTATGTAAATTAGATTTAAAACATACATTATGTTTGGTTTCTTACTTCATAATGAAGTATTGCCTCAAGAAGTACAGTTTCATGATGTTTAGGTGAAGTTTGATGGTTTTGTTTGCTACATATATGTTTCCCTTTGCAAGAGAGTGCCATTTTCCTAAAATGTATTAAGCCTCCATTAGCCTGGAAATCCTATTCCCTGTCCCCGAATGTAATGGTATTGTTAGTCATAGCAAGAAATCAAGAGAGTCCTGAGATTTTTTGTAATGCTTTGATATTAAGGAAATGAGTGTTTATTCCATTGTATTTCTGTATATCCTTACCTGTTTTATATTTTTTATTCACTGAAGTTGCAGAATTAACTATGGTTATTGCATCTCACAATCTGAAGAAACACAGGAGAGTCACATCTGACAGTCAGGTTTTTGCTGGCAGAATGATTGGCAACTTGCAGAGAAAGAGGTTGTCACTCAGGTGGGGTTACAGTGATTTATCTCTGACAGGCAAAGTGTGCCTCTGCAACAGCCGGTGTGTCTTATCCTCTCCTTGCACTGCCACATGATTTAGAAAAGGCAGCAGTTGTTTCAGACATTTCTCTTATTATTATTATTTTATTATTATTTTTTTTTTTTCAAATGTTATTCACATCATTGATGTTAGCAACATCCATGTCTCTGTTGTTGATTATAGTTTTAACACAGATTCAGCCAGAAATGGAAGATGTTATATCAGCAGAAAAAATGGTTCTAGTAGTCAGACTCAGCCCTGGACCCTGAGCCACCTCTAGCTGCCCTGCCTCCAGCATTGTTACATGATACTTGCACTCTACCAGGCTTCAAAACATTTTTGATAGTGTTATAGTGGCACAGTAACATTTTAAACATTCTAAGCATATGTTATGATTGGATTCCCCAGATAATGCACTGATATCTGGCTCCAGAGTTTGGTTCCAGAGTCTTGTGTGGCCTGTCTTTAGCAAATCACACACCAGGATTGGTAGATGTTCAAGACCAGAAATATGTATGCAAAGTGGGGGTGTTCAGACTAAAAAATTATGTTTATGTAGCAGAATGGTCAGGAAGGATGCAAAGGAAGTATCTCTCTTTTTGATAGTTCTTTGCCATTCAACAAATAAATGGTCCTTGCATGTTGAGTGGACTTGTCCATTGATGATGTATATACAGCTTGAGAGACGTGAATAAGAATACACCTTTTCCAGTAATAATAGATTTATGAATGAAAGTTGATCATCTCATAATAATGGAAAACTACCAAATTAGAATGTAGAATAATCTATATGTGATGTAATTCATTCTTATTTATAGCGTGAATTCTTTTCTGGAAATATTTCTAAATGATTCTGACATTGGTTCAACTATAATGGGGCTTTTCATTATTTTAAACTGTAAACTATGGTGAAGACTGTTGACAGTATGGGTTTCATATTTGTACTTTCTTTACATGTACAGTTACCTTTATAGGACTTAACATTATTTTGATATAGTTTGTATAGAAATTATGGAGTTCGTAATTTTATAGCCACTTTAGCAAGTTTTTTCAGTACTTCAGTCCAGGTGCAATCAGTGCTTATCTCAAGAGTACAGATCCATGACTGAGCAGCCTGATATCAGCCTGGAACGTATCAGCCTCATTAGCTTTATCTTTTGTTTGCTTTCTCATCTATGCCCGTAGTCCTGGGGTGTTATTTCTCTCTTAGTTTGTCTGTTCATTTATTTATTGCTTGTTTGATTGTTTTAGTGTGGAAACTTTTAACCCTAGTATTTTTTTTCTCCAGTGTGAGACTGTGTAAGCAGATTTGTATAGAAAAAAATACAAACAGATATCCTTTGCTTGACACAGAATTGAATGAGATTTTCATTATCCCCTCCCTTTCTTAAAAGATGCTTTAACAAACTTTGGCAGCCCATTCTTAGTCCCTTTAACCCATTCACAATGGGATGATGTCCTGATTATTCCTCCTGCTGGGAAGATGATGCCATATAATGCATGACTGAGCCTGCTCCAAGTTGTGTGTGCTAAACAGTAGTTCACTTACTTGGTCCTGGTTACAGTCATTGAGGAGAAACTGCCTATAAATATGAGTGACCTTCTTTTTGGCCTCATTATCTAAAGAATTGTATGGGCCACAGCCAGAAGCAGAGAGAGTAGGGTAATTTATGTGTACTGAGCTTTTAATTTTTCCCTTTAGGAGTTGATTGCATGCACCCAGATGTGTTGTTTGGTATGGTTCTGGGAGCTCCAGGTGTGAGTGGGTTAAGCTGAGGCTTCACTAATTTTATTAGTCTTGAACCAGACTCAATTTGAGGATAATTATCTTTTGGGAAAGGAACAGGCAAACTATCTAGGGAACTATTAGAGTCAGAATTTAAGCATTCTGATATTTTTTCATGGGCAATGAGGATCTGTTATCGACAATCATCCTCAAAGCTTTTTGGTCAGCCGAGATGTGCCTAGGGGACTGTAATTGTTTTGTCATCAAATCTGGAGTCTGGACAGGTGCTACTGGTTCAGGGATTAGGGTGGAACACAAGCTTTACAAATAATGGTTTCTGCCATTTTAGTTTTTTCCTGTGACTTGTTATCTGTTATTTATTGTTCATTATTTCTCTCATTCTACCTCAACTAATCTTCCTCCACCATTTCAGATTCGACAACTACTCAGCCAATGTAATGGTTGATGGCAAGCCCATCAACCTGGGCCTGTGGGATACAGCAGGTCAGGAGGACTACGACAGGCTGCGTCCACTCTCCTACCCACAGACTGATGTCTTCCTCATCTGCTTCTCCCTTGTCAACCCAGCCAGTTTTGAGAACGTCAGAGCAAAGGTGAGGGACCTTTGAAGGGTTGGGGATTTTGATGGAGTTTTATTATTTCAAATGTAAGAAGGATGGATGCAGTGATTTATTTTATGTAGAAGTGTAACTACCCTCTTTAACCCAATCCTGATGGGTCACACCTGTAGGCGTGAAAACAAACCGCTTGAAATGTGGTGTGCTGCTGTATGCCAAAGTGCGGCGAGCCAGTGATTTGGCCTGACGTACTGAACTCCCACGCTCAAAGTCACTTCCTTTGATTGCCAGAGTGTAGAGTTAAAAAAAAAAAAAATTCTTAGCCAGTCACCAAGGGGTTAACAAGGATTTGAATTTGGTTGTTTTAGCTAATAACTTGAGAGGGTGGAACTAAACTATTAGATTTCAAAAACCCACAAAAAGTTTTGCCTAACAAGGATCTATACAAACTGTGTTACCTGTGTTATGACAAAACCAAGACTCCCCTCTATCGCAGCAACCTTCACAACGCACTCACACTAGTCCCAGTGAAGCTATGATGAAGAAAACTCGTATGTATCTCCTTTACACCCCAACAACTCGTATGCTTTCAGAAAAATGATGCCTCACTGGTGGCCCAACATGCTGCATCAAATTATTTTCTTCTCCTATGGCGAAGTGGGCCGCCGGTGTACAACTCACGCCTATGTATTACATGTTTTGCTGAAAAGCACGGTGCATAGATTTCATGTAAACAATACTTTCTTTTTATTATAAGGAACCATAATGTACAGTAAGCAACTATATTCAATATTATTTATTTTGTGAAGCTACATTATTTTGGTAATTATTGTAAGGATTTCCTTTATAATATGCATCATATGCATTTTTCAAGTAATTTCAGCTTTATTTCTGTATATATAAAAAAAGTTAATTTTAGTATAGGATTAAAAGATTCCAAAGTGTATGAGTATGTGGTGTTGTCCAAAAGACTTAGACCAATCATACCAATTTTCAAATATATATGAGTTTAATTACATTAAATTTTCAAATGTACATTTTATATTAGTGTAATGGTTTTCAATTTCATAATTCCAATTCTGTATGGCATATAGTATTTTGTTTTTCTTTACCATTTCTTACTGTTTTGCTT